CCCTTCCAGCTGTCAGCTGCGCTGTACTTGAAAGGCTGCTTTTCAATTTACTTATCTTTTTCAGAAAAGCAAACAGCCAGAATGGAATGTAAAAAAAATCTGATTATTCAAAATTAATATTCATTCTATTTGTATGATCAAGCAAGAAACGAACAGCACATTCGATTCAAAGGACGCGTTCGAGTAAGACATTGCTTTTTCAATTCTGCATAAGTAAAGTGGTGAGAGAAAGTTTAAAAACAAGGGGTTTTGAGTCGTTTTTTTGTCTATAGTGATAAGCAGCGAGCTCAAATCCTTATGGTAATCTTAATACCCAATGAATTTTTCTATCTAATGCATTCTATACGAAGATTTCATAGATGAACTATCGTAATAAAGTTTCTAAAAGTCTGACACCGTAGTTATCAGATCTCATAAGACATTGTTTGAAGCTATTTTTCACAATGCCATCTTATAGAGCGCAAAATTCTGAAGAAAATGAAAACTCTTCATATTTTCTACGAGTTTTCTTGAGAAACTTAAAAGTATCATAAAAGCTGAGAAAAGGCCGTTTTTTAGTAGATTTGTAGCGGTTTTTTGATAAATTTCGACTTTTGGCGAGTTTTGTGGTGCCTTTGAATTTTTCAAAAAAACCCCTAGACAACACTTTAACTCATCATTTTGTTCAGAATTTTGCGTTCCTTACAATGGTATTGTTAAAAAATAACTCCAACAAAATTTTCTGAGATCTGAATACTTCCACATCATGTTTTTAAGATAGCTTGCCATCATAGTTTAGCTATGAAATATTGGTATAGAATGCATTAAATAGAAAACCCCACTGGGCATGGGTGTGGGTGCGTGTAGATCTTCTCTTTTTGTGCCAACACTGACATCTACATCCATACCCACACCCACACCCTTCACAATTACTTCTACTGCAAACAAATTGTAGTGAGTACAAATATGCGGCCATATGTTTGATTGATGCCTGATGAAGGTACTACCTTCTCAGGAATTCACTTGACTCCTCAATATATTTGCACATGTCTATAAGCAATAACTTTCGCTGCGCGATTGATCAGCAAAAGAATTTTCTATCCTACAGCCAAATTTGATGGTGCGATATCCACTGTAGCTGCGTTAACAGAACTCGTTAGATCATGTTTCTATATCTGTCCAATGGCTGTATTGCTATGCAATTTGTTTGCAAAGAGAATTAACATCTACAGAGTCTTTTCGGATGTTGATCCTCAGAAATAACCACCCGAGAGAAATATTTACTTTTCATCATCGAAAAACTTGGGATAGTGTGCACGAGCAATTCTCCGATGAAATCGTAACGAATTAGATGGCGCATCTTCCGATATAAAATTCAAAACTTCTCGTATTGGCTCGAATGTGATATCTAATAAATACATTCTTTTTCGGTGTATGGTTCCGATTCTTCAGGGTTTCCGTTTTTGCGCCTCAAGTCTAGTGTTCCTAAGTGACAATCATCAACATGTATTTTCTGCTCCGATGCTGAAGGATTGCGTTCTAATTAGAAGCGATTGAGGTGAAGTAATGTAACAATAAGCTGTTGATGCACATCACCAAACATCAGACTGATATGTGAATTCGAATGCTTTCGAAGGTTGAAATAAATAAAAAGTCGCTCAAATGAAGTTTTAAACCTTGCTCTAATTATGCCTTCCTTTCAATAGTGGGTAACCTATACGTGTTAAGCGTGACATTCCATTTTGTGTAAGATTGTATGTGTGACGATTTATCAAAAATTCAACTCTAAGCAATACAGATTAGTTGGATCATGCGTACGAAATAGTGGTCGCCATTCTTGATACAACTTGCAGCGTGGAACCCCTTTGATTGCCTAGTGCGCTGTACTTGAAAGGCTACTTTTCAATTTTCTTAGCTTTACGAGGACAAAAAAGAAGCCAGAATGAAATAAAAAAATCCGGATTATTGAAAATTAAAATTCGTTTCATTCTTACGACACAGCAAGAATATAGTAGTACATTGAATTCCAAGAACGCCTTTCTGGTAAGATATTGCTTTCTCAATTCTGCATCATTACTATACGACGTGCTTCTGAAGAAGCATCGGACGTCTGGAAATGTTTGCAACAGGTAATATTTATCTCATATCTCAGTTGAACCAAAACAAAGGGCCATGAAATGTGTTTTGGAAGATGCGCCATTAAATTCTCCGTGGTTTCATAAGAGAACCGTTGTTGCAAGCCGTTCGCAAGGTTTCCCAAAAAAATGAACCCTAAGAATTTGTGTAGCGCAACTATTTCCGAGGATGCAAGTGGTTCAAGATCTGGTAAATCTTTTTCTATTTACAACTGTATCCAATTGTCCTACACTCATTTGATGATTACAGTGGCATGATTTTACTTAGGACCGACCAAAAGTTCTAAGCCCGGTGTTTAAAGGATCTTGTTGGATACGATAACGTACTCATAAATGAAAAACCAAATATACGATGTTGTAGAGCTTTTTGAGGCACGTCGAATAGTATATGGTAAATCCTGTTTTTATAAGAATTTGAAGAAACTAGAGTCGATTTACTGATAGAGCACTACGCATCCATACCAGCGCCCACCGATACCCACACTGACAAGATGACTGGAGATGCTACGTATATGAGATTGTAGCCCGTCAAAAACTCTACAAAATCGTATGTGAGAAAAAATATTTTACAAATACTTTCAACTAATACCAGGGACCACAATATTCAGTAACCTATTATGCTTGAGTGTCGGTGTGAGTGTGTGTAGTCGTCTATCAGTAAATTGGCTCTAGTTCCTTCAAAATATTATATAAACAGAATTTGCTATATGCCATTCGACGCGCCTCAAAAAATTCTACAATATGGGATATTTGGTCTTTATTTGTGAATAGGTTACCTTATCCAACAAGGTTCTTTAAACACCGAGCTTAGAACTTTTGGTCGACCCTAAGTACCTGTGAAATTCACGGAACTGTCTTTGTGCTGATTAGCATGTAGTATGATTGGATTTAGAAGTCTAGTTATTCCGGTCGATGTTCAACAGTGCATCGTTCAATGGATTTTACAATTTGTCATACTGCAAAGTGCTGCCGTGAATAGTAATACACGGTGACATATTTCATTGATGGCTGCTGAAGGCACTATCTCATCTGGGATTCACTCGATTCCTCATGATATTTGTATGCGTCTATGGACAGAAACTTTTGTCGAGCGACTTGTTGGCATGAGAGTTTCTTGCTTCGGTGACTAAAATGTGGGTGTGCATCTTCTTGTCTCACACCCACACCCACACCATCCACACCTACACCCACACCCACACACCCGCACACCCACAACCACACCCACACACCCTCTATCACTGGAAATCAATTTTTATTTGTTCATCGTGAATCAATAGGAATCATCGAAAAATGCTTCGAAATGAAAAAAATGATGAGAACTCAATAGAAATCAGGGTTTTACTTTTCAATTTTATTATTGGAGATCTTCTGTGACATAAAATAATTTCCATTGATTTCTAGTGATTTCTAATGATTTCTAGCGCAGAAATCAGTTTGTTTCCCCTTGGTTCTCGGTAATAGAAACAAGTTGTAGTTTCTCATCAAGATGTTATATACTTCCACTCGGAATAATCGATGATCCCACTGAATTTTGTAAGGCATGGTAAGCTTTTTAGAATCTTTAAGGATCCTTAAAAATGAACACAGTAGGTTCAGATTTTGATGGGTAGAACAAAGAGTATTACTTAGTCTATACCTGTAGGAAATTTTCTGATCGAGCAAATGAGCCAGCAGTAAATTACATAGACTTTGCCTATTAGTCAGTCTACACGTCGGTACTGTTTTAACGTAATATTTCCAATTTAGTCTCATGAATTCACGAAAAATAGGATCCCAATAGGTACATTTTGTAGATCACGACGTGTTCGATAACTGTAATCAGCTGCTCGTCCGACAACAGGCATCGTTCTGATTTCATCTTCGGAATCCCACCCAATTCGTCGGGTTTGTCATTTTATGCATCACTAGGCCAGATTCCCTGGCTCAAATTCATCACAATAATTCAAAATGACAGTTTCTAATAGAATTGATTATGAAAGGAAAGAATCTGTTATTATCATGCCGCGATAATGTGACTATAACGCATTGTTCATCAAAGTATCCATAGCGATCGAATTTTGAGTGCTTCATGCCGTGGGTTATTTTATTGCGAGCTGGTCGATTTTGTAGACCTCAAAAATTATATGGATGTGGGCCTGTGCTGGATGTGGGTGTGGGTGTGAAGTGCGGATAACGGAAAGACCCACCTACACCCACACCCGCACCCACACACCCACACCCACACACCCACACCCACACATTCACGCCCACGCCCACACCCACATCCACACTCACAACATGAAGTGATCTAATATTTCGGATTAGAGCAAAGGCAAAGAAGATCCTTCCTTTGAGATAAATAAATAGAAAGTCAAAGAAACTCGCCAGCTGGTTATGGTGGCTACCTCACGGAACATATGTTTTAAAAAGTAGAAACTGTGTTTATGAGGTAAAATCTGAAGTTGTCATTTGTGACTATGCGCCGTATTTTCTTGATAAAATTGAAACTATAAACAATCAAAATCGGCTGCGACATCGTGCAAAAACCGACGGCGCTATTCTTTTTGAGCCGTCTACCAACTTAAACTCGATAGAGAAAGCACTAATCTCAATTTTGTCTCAGAATTTTCTTAGGCGAAGAGAACAACACCGATAATGAGCGATTGGAATACACAACGGTCACATTGGGTTGACTGCGAAACGCCGGAATCCAAAACTACACAGTATAGTCGTTCGCTTAGGATGATGGGCCCAAAGAGTGGTCTGACCAGTAACATTTCATCTGTTACTCTTCAGCACCATCGTAGCACACAAACCGAATACAACGACGACCGACAAAGGTCAGTATAATTGATAATCTATCTCGATAGTTCTTTTACATCGATGCTTCGATATTTCAGGAGCAGAATGTTATGGCTGCTAGACAAAGTTGATTTATTAAAATCATTATTTTGTCGAGGTCTGCTAATGGGAGTTCTTATAGGTGGCTTAGTTTTGGCTATCGTTATATCTCTATGGTTAACATCAAAAATTTCATCTCAAGACACCACCATGCAAATGATAAATAGTAAATATGTCACTTAACTTTGCTGTAAATTGAAAGAAATGTTTCCATTTATTTTCTGCGTCAAAACTTGCATTGCACAAAAGACCAAAAGTCGGAGTAATATTTTATAATTCCTTTGCATTACTACACAAGGCTTTTTAATCCACTTCCTAGAAAAACTCTTGTTTCTGAAATAGGTATTAAAATATGCTCTATTCCCTTCTGGACGAATGAAGATAATTGGAAATGCTCAGTTGTATGTAACTGCGGAATATGATAGGAATGAGGGTAGAATAGGCGTGAGTGTATTTCTTTCTAGTATTCTTAATGAACTGCACACTTTTGAGCACAAGTGAGAATATGATCATTAAATGCAATCTTGTTTGTTCTGTTCAAGAGAATCATTGAATTGAGAAAAAGACTGATATCACATCTAACACTGACAAATACAAGCTAAAATACCAGATTTCCGACTTTTCGTATCAGAAAATCTCTCTAGATGTACCATCGTCTTTGAGCTAATATCTTACGGAGTATGTAGAGTACAAGGAGAATATTCGAATATTGCAACGATTTGTCTGCATATGCTTTCTGAATAGACTTACCATCGTATTACTATGTTTTTGGAAAAAACTCGAATGAATGAATTTCGGTATCTAACTTTTGCTTGTAAGCCGCCCCAGAAAGCACAAGAACATATGAGCTGAGTCTTTGGGCAAATAGAAGATTTTTTAGTACCTGATTATTTTTCAGACAAGCACTCATTTCAGTTGAAACTTTCAGATAATTCTGATGGCTGCTAAAATGACTAGCGGGAAATACTTGTATCCGAAAACTCGCTTATTCGATGTTTTCGGGTGAACTGTAGCTGTGTGAGTGAATTAGCTTTGGAATATGAGCATATTGGTGCCGATATGGTTGCGTTTGCGAAGAACTTTATCCAATCACATTAACCCCGATACACTCCTACACTGATTCATACTCACACCCTCTATTGGCCTTACGGCAAGCAGTCGAGTACGAAGAATGCTGTTACCACAGCCGACGAAGCATGAATGACATTTTCTTTTCCTCATTACTCTCCATCCGGGTATTTTTAGTTTCTCATCTCTAAATTGACTACCACTCTCTGTCTCTCTCTTGAAACAACGATCGCCATTGACCTGACAATTGATTTTTCTTTTTTTACGAAACGTCGTTTTGTTCCAAGAACTTGAGATTCATATTTCGCACCGCATTTCTTATTCGAGAGAATCTCGAACACCATCTGATTTTTAAGATGCGAAGCACATTATAGGACTGCGTTGCGGGTTTTTTTAATTTATGTCTATCTAGACATACACAAATAACTTAGCATTTTGTGTCGCAGTGACCTCGGGAACCGAAAGTCAGAAAATATTCCTTCAAGCGTAAGATGAAAGTGTCGAGATCGAATCGAAAACATCTGTTATTCAATTTCATAATGAGGTTCCGTTCGTGTACAAATAGCATCCGAAAAACACCAATGCTTTAGAGCTTTGTCGTTTCCTCATTTTGAAATAATTAAAATGAAGATAGCAGCAAAAGCTAGCTGCCTCTCTGTTTGCATATTTATCAGACAGCTGTGAATACAGCTGATAATAGATAATGAATCATCGATAATTATACTATCAATCAAGAGCGTTCTTTAGAAGCATGTGTGTAGGCATTCATAGAGTTCTCATTGTGATGAATTTCAGTATGGCTACTTTCCAGCTCACATCAAGTTTTGATCTGCTGATTGATGAAAGGTAACTTTTTCGATTCACAACGACCGAGACACTAACGTCTATTTTTGATAGAACGTAAACAACTTGATGAGAAATACCATTCGACATTGATCCTGGCGTCGATTATTCGTTTTAGTCGGAAATTCGATTGTTTCGCATAATCGATAGTCGTAGTTCGCACCTTATTTCGCATTCTCGACTCTGTCGAGATGCCATCTAGTCTTACTAGATGTACGCATCAAAACTTATCATTTGGTGACGTGATGATCTTGAAAACGGAAAGTCAGAAAAATTTCGTTGAAACATGAAGTGAAAGTATCGAGATTGAACTGCTACCATTTTTTTTTCATATCATCTATAGGATATTCCGTTCGCTCACAAATAACCTCCCAAAAAGACGATTTTGAAAGAATTTAGCCTAAAGATACTTAAAATGACATCATCAAGAAAAGTTAGGCGCCACTCTCCTTGCTTATATAAATAGAAGACAGCTCTGAATACAGCTAATTATAGATAATGAATCATTCAGAAAATAAAAAGATCAATCGATATCATTCATAAACAACATGTTGATACGCTTTGATAGAGTTCTCCTAGTAATGAATTTCCCAATGGATACTTTACAAATGGTTTGAAATTTTAATCAGCTGTTGGGTCGAAATGTGAATTTTAGAATTCACAAGAACAGGAAAAACCATGATTCCAATAAAAAGACAATGTCGTCATGAGAAAAATGATATCTGTTGGATCGTGAAATCGAATATTCGTTTTTATGAAATATTCTTTTCTTCGAAAATTCAAGATTCGTGCTTCGCACTGCATATACCATCTAGCTGTTTCTAAATTGAACATTTATTATTCCTAATGCAATGCATCTGAAATGTAAACAAGCGTCTATAAAAGGATCTTGGGTTTTGAACAACAAGCAGAAGCCGAAATTTGTTCTAATTCTTATTTAGTTCATGTACATATTTAGTAAACAGTTCAACTACTTAAGCTAATAGACTTTAATATTTGACAAGTCTTTCGTTGAAAGCAATAGTGAAGTGTTCAGAAAGATACTTCAGATACGCCAAAAGACATTGCTTCGTATTTCAAGTTAAAGTATCTACAATATACAAGTTTTTGTACCTATTTAAGCCTAAGTACGAAAGTGTTTGTCTCCAAGTACAAGAATAAGTACCAAGCGCACTTAATGAATACTTGTACTTGTACTTTTATTCGAAAAGTACGCAAAGTGCAAGTAAAAATGTTTTCATCGTAGCTCTGCTATTTGTGTCGTTAGAGTATTGAATGAATAGCTAACGTTATTTTCACCATATTTGTGATTTTAGCAACAACAGCAACAACTGCTACTACTGCAACGACAGCAACAACAGCGACAACAACAACAACAACGACAACAACTACAACTACAACTACAACTACAACAACTATAACAACAACAACAACGACAACAACGGCAACAACTACAACAACAACTATAACAACAACAACAACGACAACAACGACAACAACAACAATGACAACAACAACAATAACAACAACGACAACAACGACAACAACAACTACAACAACAACAATGACGACGACAACAACAACTACGACAACAACAACAACAACGACAACGACAACCACAGCAACTACTACTACAACAACAACAATAACAACAACTACAACTACAACAGCAACAACAACAACAACAATAACGACAACGACAACGACAACAACGGCAACAACAACAACGACGACAATAACAACAACGACAACGACAACAACTACAACAACGACAACATCAACAACAACAACATCAACAACAACAACGACAACAACAACAACAACGACAACAACAACAACATCAACAACAACAACGACAACAACAACGACAACAACAAAAACAACAACAACAACAACAACACTTCCACCATATAAATGCTGTTTATTTGTAATGTACATCCAGAGTGTATGAACGTAAACAAAATCCTTCATCGAAAAGAGTAAAATACTAAAACAGAATGCTTGTTCTGGTCACACATGTACCATACAATATTTAACGATCTTAAGAAATTTAAAAATCTAGTTCAAAATGGCACTATATTCGTACAGAATAATTATTGTCACAGTAATTCCTCTACCATATGATCCTTAACTGCTCTCTGAACTCTAAAGATTAACTTCAAAGTGAGACATATATAAGAAAAGAATCATCGTGAGAAACATGCATTCAGCATGTTTTCTTTCATTAAATCACCAATTTTTAACTTTCCTTCTAAGTGAACAGTATATTTGAATTGGACCCTTATGAGAAGTACTCATTTTCCATATGATCGTTGATCAGGTTAGCAACACCAAGCTTTCCTTCGAAGTAAACACCATGGTAAAACATAGCCCTTGTTACGTTCATTCGTGTGTGATGCGATCATATCGGTTCTTAGCAGTTACAACATTTTCGTTCAAACTGAGTAATATACTTCAACATGACTATGGTACCAAGAGTTCATGTGACGTGCGATCTTCGATCTAATTATGCACTGCAAACTTTGCTTCGCATGTAGTAATATGCTCGAATCTGACTCTTCTGAATAACATTCATTCTTCATGTCATCTTTGATCAAATTACACACTCCAAAAATTGCTTCGCATGTCGCCATGTGCTCGAATCTGATCCTTCTGAAGAGTATTCGTTCTCCATGTCATCTTTGATCAAATTATGCACTGCGAACTTTATTTTGAAGTGAGCAATATACTCGAATCGGATCTTAATGAAGAACATACATTCGCCATGCCATCTTTGATCAAATTATGCATCTCAAACTTTGCTTCACATGTAGCAATATGCTCGAATCCAATCCTTCTGACGAGCATTCATTCGCCATGTCATCTTTGATCAAATCAACGCCTTCAAACTTTATTTTGAAGTGAGCAATAAACTCGAAATGTACTCTTCTGTAGCGCATACATTTGCTATGTCATCTTCGATCAAATCAACACCCTTAACGTTTTCTTTGAAGTGAGCAATAAACTTGAAATGCATCCTGCTGAAAAGCATTCATGCATCATGTTATCTTTGATCACGTTATTAGCGTGAAACTTTCCTCTGTAGTGAGCAATATGCTCAGACAGAAACTTTTAAAGAATAACTCATGTGTCTTCTGATTGTCGATCACGTCACTAACATCAGACTTTGCTTCACAGCGAGAAGTATACTTAAATATAGAATCTTGCTCAGATGTATTTATGTGTCATGTGAGCATTGAGCAGGTTACGAATTGTACACTTTACATCGAGGTTAGCAATGTGCTCAGACAGACACTTTATAAGAGATATTCATTTGGTATGCTCTCTTTGACCACTTCAACAACTTCAAACTGTGTCGCGACTGAGAGAAATGCTCGAACAGAGACTTTGTCAAAGATGTTCATTAGCCAACTGACGTAGAATCATGTTACCAGCATTAAACATTGGCTTCAAGTGAGCGAAATGCTAGGACCGGAACTTTGTATGATGTATTCATTTCGCATTGTAATATTTCATGAAGATAACAACGTCAAATTTTGCTTTGGAATGAATAGTAAGCTCGAACAGCACCCTTCTTACAAGAATTCATTCTCACTGTGTCGTACGATCGCATCATCAACTTGAAACTTTACTTCACAGTGTGTAATATGCTCGAATCGGACCTTACTGGCGAGAATTCTTTCGTCATATCAGCTTTCATAGCGTTATCTAATTCACGCTTTGCTTTCAAGTGAGAAATATTCTTGAGGAAGAGGCTGTTGAGAAGTATTGACCGGGCGCATGATCTTCGACTGCGTTACCAACCGATAAATTCTGCATGAAAATGAGCATTATACACGAACGAGTCCCTTCTGAGATACGCTCATTTGCTATGCATTCGACGATCACTTTACGAACTGAAAAGTCTTTGTCATAATGAGCAATATAGTGAAACAGACAATGGTGTCAATTGTTCCTTTGCCATCTGATCTTCGATGAAGGCACAATTTCCACAGCTTTACGTAAAAGTTAGCGCAAAATTGAACACAATTATTGTAAAGCTTATTCATTGGTCATGAAATTTTTCATTTTCTCATCAGCTGCACACTTTGTTTGGAATCGAGATAGACAGTTGGACATGATCCTAATAAGCGGTATTTCTTCGACATGTGATCTTTCAGCACGAGAACACCTTCAAAATATCATTTAAAATTACTAATATACTCAAACACGGGTCATTTCTGAAAAGTAATCATATGCGATGCGATCTTCGGTCAGATAGCAAGTTCAAACTTCGCCTCAAAATGAGCAATTTTCTCGGAAAAAACTCTGCTGAGAATTATTCAATCCTTCATGTCATCTATAATTACATGAATAACTTCAAAGATTGGCTTGCAGTGAGTAATACGTTTGGACAAGAACTTTGTAAGAGTTGTTCGTTTGTCATATGAACTTCAATGACATTACCAATTGAAAACTTTGCTTTATAGTGAGTAATATATGCCAAGAGAAACTAAATGAGATGCATTCATCTTACGATCTTTGATTAAGTCACAAAATTCAAGTATCGATTCGAAGTGAACAGTTGACACGAACGGAGCTTTTATGATAAATTTTCATTCCTCATGTTATGCTTGTTAGAATGACCAATTGAAAACGTTTGATAGGAAGTAAATAGTATACTCGAAAGTGATCCTTCTGAAATGCTTTCATTTGCAATGTGATCCAACATGACGTCAACAACTTCAACAATTGTTTGGCAATGAGCAATATACTCGAAGTAGACTCTAGTTACAAAATTTATTGGTCATATGATGTGTAGTTACATCACTAAGTGAGAAGCTTTATTTTGAAGTTATCAACATACTAGAACAGAATTCTTCTAGGAGCAATTCATGTGCCAAGTGATAGTTCCTCGCCTAACTATCTAAAAGTCGTTTCTTCGAAGCGTGGAACATTCTCAAACAGGATTCTACTAAAATCTATTGATTTGTCACGTGTGAATTATTAGCTGTAGCAACTGCAAATGTTTGATTCGAAATGATCAATATACTGGAACAAGATGTTCCTAACAGGTATCTACTTATCTGGTGATCTTTTTATTGCCTCACCAGGTGCAAAATTTTCCGTCAAAGTGATCCATAAACTTGGATAGAGTAGTTGTATAGTTCATTCATTTGCTATGTGGTCTTTAGTTTAGTTGCGAAATGCATATCTGTATTTTCTAATGGTCGATATATATGACGCGAACCGTTATTTAAAATATTCGTTTGCTATGTGATCTTCGACCACGTTGACGTTTGTAAACCTTACCTTCGAAGGAAGCAACTTGCTTGGACAGGCTCCTTATATGGGGTATTAATTTTTTATGTTATCTTCGCTCATGTCAACAGCTCCGATGCTTTTCTTTCAAGCGAACAATATGTATGAAGTGAATCGTAGTAAAAATGATTCAATGGCCATGTAATAGTAGGTCACGGCAGTAACTATCAAGCCTTACTTCGTAGTGAGCAACATACTGAAATCCCACCCTGGCACTAGTAAGAATTCATTTGCCATATGATTTTTGCTAACGTTATCAAATGTAGACTGTATTTCGAAGTGAGCAGTATGCTCGTATAGGATCATACTAGGGTGTAATAATTTGCAACGTGATCTTCGCTCATGTTACCAACTGGAAATTTCTCTGTAAGGCGAGCAATTTATTTGAAGCGACTCTTTATTTAGATGTTTTATTTACCATATGATTTTTGATACCGATACCGTCGGCCTACCTTAGTTGGTAGCGAGCAATATCCTAGGACAGAATCATAATAGAATGTAATAATTTGCCATGTCATTTGCACTCACATAACTTGCCAGAAACGTTACTGTAAAGTGAGCAATTTACTTGAAGCTACTCTTTATTTAGATGTTTTATCTACCATATGATCCTCGATGCCGACACCAGTGGCAAAATCTTGCTTGGAAGTGAGCAGTGTGCTCGGATAGGACCCTACTCATAAGTATTCATTTGCAATATGAACTTCACTCACATTATCCACCGTAAATTTTGCTGTGAAACGAATAATATACCGGCACAAGGTCGTACTAAAAGCTATCCATTCACAATATGATCTTCGTTCATGTCAACAAAATCGAAACTTTTCTTGCAAATGGACAATATAGTTCAAGCGATCCTTTTTCCAGATGTTTCATTTACCATATGATCTTGGATTCCGACATCTACAGAAATGTGTTGCTTCGAGGTGAACATTTTGCTTGAACACAACTGTTGTCACGCTCATTTGTTTTTGATGTGATCTTTGCTCATGTTATCAAATGTAAACATTTGCTTTGAAGCGAGCAATACATTCAAACAAAACCCTGCTTGCAAATATTCATGTACCATGTGATCTTCACTCATGTCAACAACTCCATAGCTTTTCTTCCACGGAAGCAATATGCTTGAAATGAACCGTCTTGACAATGATTCGTTTGCCATTTAATATTCGTTCTCGCTACTTCATTTAAACATTTGCTTCGAAGTGATCAATTACTCAAACAAGACTCTGGTCAGAAATATTCATCTGCCATGTGATTTTCACTCATGTCAACAATTTCATAGCTTTTCTTCCACGGAGGCAATATGCGTGAAATGAACTGTTTTGAAAATGATTCGTTCGCCATTTAATCTTCACTCATGTCATCAACTGCAAAGTTTTGCTTTAAGGTTAGCATTCTACTTGAATGCAACTGTTGTCATGATCATTCAGTTTTCCTACGATCTCCAATCACGTTACCGACGGGGAAACTTATTTCAAAGTGAGCAATATAGTGAAACGTAATCCTTCTAGGAAGTATTCATTTGCAACTTTTTTCACTCACGTCAGCAACTACGAAATTTTACTTCAAAGTGAGTAGTATATTCAAATAGGATTGTAGTCAAAATTTTTCATTTGTCATATGATCTTCGCTCATGTCACATGTTAT